CGCATACCCGCCCCGCACGAAGAATAAATTTAAAGCCGCCTTAATTAACAGGCGTAATTGAGGCAGCCTAATCACTGTCACAATATTTTACAAAAAGTACGACTGCCTGCATTCCCCCTTTTTTTTTCTTTATGAACACCAAAAATGTTGACCAGGGACGTTTAGTTTTAATTAGTTTTATAGGAACCCAACAGGGGATCCGAGGGCGCGACGAAGTATTTGGGCCGCCTCAGCATTGTTGATACCGACCGCCAGGGATACCAAGAAAATGAAACTTTCGCTGAACCAACGAGAGGAGGCGTTGGCTGAACACATTGAGACGCTGAAGTGTCAATGCCCTTTTTGGCGCGTTTTCAAAGAATGCTTCCTGGGCGCTTACATAATCAGCCGTGACCTCTGCTCACAACTAAAATATAAAATAATATGCACGTGCAAGTCCAGTTTTGCTGCGTCTACTCGTTAGGATACGCATTGGAACTCAGTTTTGCTGCACCTACTCGCTGAGCTGTGTGTCCTGGCACTACCATCCGATCTCGTAAACTGCATTGCCGGGTGCCTATAGCCATTAGAAGCTTCAGATGTGTAGTACACTAGTACACTGACTGGCGCAAGCCCAGGAAAATTACTACGATTGCTATAGCCATCGTGTTTTTCATTGGACCTTCGCGCTAGGTCAGGGTGCTTAATCAAACAGCTTCGAGTGCAGTGGCGTACCAACTCTTTCGGCAGAGTGGGGGCAAACCTACCTCACTGGTCAGTCGGGATATATATATATATATATATATATATATATATATATATATATATATATATATATATATATATATATATGAGATCTAACAGACAATAATGATAAGGAAAGTATAGGGGAAGATATTAGACCAAGTTGTAGATATGAAGAAAAGTGGGTGAAAAGATAACTTGCCATCTTGCAGTGGGCAGGATCCGAGCCCTTAGGTATTCACTTATTTCCTTACACACACACACACACGTGTGTGTGTGTGTGTGTGTGTGTGTGTGTGTGTGCATGTGTGCAAGGAACCTACAAGGAAAATCATCGGCAATGTTGGCAAAAATTCACTGTTGTAACATAGCCTCGTAACAATTTCATTCTCCCGTAAGAACATGTTTGAATGATTACTGTTGTGATGGAAAACTACGCCCTACTTGTTGGTTTCCACAGCGTGCAGCCAAGAGTGACCATTGTCGAAAGTTGGGAAGACTCGTGCCCCCCTTGCCCCCACCCCCCGGCTGGTACGCCTATGTTCAAGTGGCCACTGCATTGGGGAAGTTGACTTCTAGGTACACTCAAGCATATTTCTCGTAATCCATCAAATAAATTTGTTTCAAAACAGTATCGTCATCTTAAATGGGTATGCCCCTCCACTGAAAATGAAGGAGACAACAAATGGTGCGAGGCAGTGAGCTAGAGACGAGAGGAAACGGGAAAGGCGAGAGGATCACCAAAGCAATGAAAAGCCTGCGCCAATCGACATGCCCATCACTCGAACCTCTGTGCCGAGAAACGACATAAAAACAATCTAGTTTCTAAAGCTTAGCAACAGCAGCCTCGAAGCAACCTAGAAGCATCACCCTGGTGAGGCCTAGAAGCAACCAGCTTAGTCATCAGAGTTGCCAAGTCTCACTGCTTGAAAGCTTGTGTGGCAAGCATTGCCAAGTTTTTTTTTTTCATTAGAACACACAGATACAGCTTTTCTTTCATCTTAAGCTTCATTCTCCATCATGCTTACTTGTTAGAAATAGGCTTTCATGATTAATCCCTGAAATCTTTCTTGAATAAGGTTTATATGTTCACCAGTGTTTTTAGAAAACAGAATTATAGTCCAGGAATCAGATGCACACTTATCATCAATGGCTTAAATTATGTATAAATGTAGATGATTGGGAATGGTTTACTTGGCATTTTAAAGTCAGGCATAATAAAGATTTGCAGCATGCCAGAAATGACCCTTACATTTCCTCGTGCTGAAAAGTGTCTTTTGAAAGGAAAAGAAGCTTACGTTCTTCGTACTTCTTTTCTGCTCTTTCGAACAGCTTCAGGTCTGACAGTATACTTTACAGATACTTAACAGTCAAGCAATATGGTGGCCAAAAGCAAACTCTGTAGGCATGCCTTAAATCTAAAGCTATGCTATGGTGTTGACAGGCCCACTGCAAACTGTTGCTAGCTCTATTTGACACTTCTAGATACAATCTGACCGCCACTGTCCCTCTGTCTTTTGCCCCCTTGAAAAAATACCGCGAACGCCAGTGAAAATTCATGCTGTTAGCAACAGCTAATGAACCAATCACCATTCTGCGTGACAGTATTACAACAAAGTGTGCATTTCCATGCTGAAACAAAAAGAGCAGAATCAAACATTTCTCAAGCAAACTCCATGCTGGGAGCTACAACCTAATAAATTACTGAAACTCTTCATGCAAATACTAGTGTGTGTTCCTCACTCACATGGCATGATTCCCCACAGCATTTTCATTGCATTGAGACCTGGACAAATTGTTGCCAACTGCAAACCACATACAGGCAAAGCCACAAAAAGCATAGGGGAGATTGTTTGTGGTTTTTTCACTGTAGTGCAATGAAATTAAAGTGGGCCGAAAATCCCCATTCTGTTGTTTGAATTCAAACCCACAACCATCAAATTCAGAGATGGTCGGTTTTAGATACTGATGGAAAGGGCAATTGTGACTTTGTGCAACACTTAAACTGCTGATGGTTGTAATTGATAATGGTACACGGAAAAACTCCCGAGTGCAAATTCATGCGCAAGTCCAATTTCAAGAATGTACGATTCTTCTTGCATGCGGCTGCTGCTAGATAGGACAAACAATCTATGTTTAAAGAGCAGAACATGATGCATGCTTGAAATGTTGAGCAAACTGAAGAGGGCCCACATTTCCCTAAGCACGTCAGGCATTGCCGTTCAAGCTCTTGTGAACCACACTTTTCTGGCACGCAGTTTATCACAGACTAAACAGCCAGAAAATTGATGGAAGCATTTTGTAGCAGCAAAAAAGATGACATGTGCATTTGTAATACTTCTGTAGTACTGAACAAGCCTAAGAAAAAGGTTATTAAGCATGAAATATCTGACCATGATTGATATATGATTTTTGCACGCACACTCGGAAGCATACGTACATGTACTTCTGCAAATAAATCAGTCAATAGTGATGCTCTACACATTGTCCTACTGTGCCTTAAAGGGGCCCTGTAACACTTCTCCAAGTAACCACAGAACGGATTCAGTAAAAGAGCTTACTGCCTCACTAATTGACTACCACAAAAGGTTTTAGAACCCGTCCAGTACGAGTGAAATTACAAAGATTTGTTGCATGCGGCAATACCTTTGTCTTCTCTCGTGCCAATGAAAGCGCTGGCAGATAAGCAGGGAGAAATGGCACGGGAGATGAAGGTATGTCACTGTGCCTCATGTCCTCAAGCACTCTTCCCCCCCCCTTTTATAACGCGCAGATTTTCAGAGCGATTGCGTGTACGGGGATGTTGAAATGGCAGGTCCAGCAACGCCCGATCTCATCACGCTTAAATCAGCCAATGGTGTGATATTGGGGCCAGTTATGCAATGATTCTTGAGAATATAGCATTTCCCGAGAGAAGAGAAAGTGATTTCTAGCTAATTTAAATTTATTGCGATTTCCAGGCCGTGTGCTGCGCTGTATTATTTTGGTCACATGTTTTCGGATGCCTCGACTACCAATCAGCAGCATTATCTGACCACACTCAAAAAGTGTTGTGAGACACCTTTAAAAGCAATCATGAACATACACCAACTCGCCAAAGGCAACTATTAAGTTGACGTTGATTGTTGACATAGCGGTCCAGTCACCTTGTAGTGTTACTTTTGTGCTAAGGAAGTGCTTATTTTGAAATAAAATCACATCTTAGTTGTCCGCATCGGGTTAGCGCACTTTAATTTACCCGCCGGACTGTCTCACGTCACTGGTGCACTTTTACTTCGTGAACATGCTGCTCCAAGAATTTTGCGAATGCATGCTATGTTAAGGAAGTTACAGGGGCTAGAACATCGTGTTCAGTTGGTTTTAAATTTTCGCGCGGCCTCGCCACCCTTCTCCTTCAGAGGAACGGGAAGGCGCGGCCCATCGCCGTGACTCCACTCACTTCAGCAACGCACTTCCGCTTGCTGCGATGCCTGGTTGTTTACTGTTTACCCAGTGCCGATAATTCTCCACAGCCCAGTTGCTCGATTTACAGCCGACGATTTGCAGCAAGACTGCATTTCAAAACACGGACATGAAGTTGGCCAATTTTTCTGGAGTTAGATTTTTAGGGAGCAGACTGTTGCGACATCTGGGAGCAGCAACACAAAACACAAATAATACGTTTAATAGTGGGTGTGCTGACGAACAGGTGGGATGACAATCTGCTCATTCCCAAAAACTGAGCCAGTGAAGTTTCTCGATATCGATGCATGAAGCCCATGGGAAGTTTCCCAACTCATATGATTGAATAGCTTTGTCGCAGCTGTGGGTGGGAACAGGAACTGTCGTTGACTTCACTACTGTTTACTGAGACCTGGTTTAGATCAATCGCCGACTTGTCACTGCGCGTGCAAGGAGCATTGGTCAGGCTCAGGAAAGGTAGTGCGGGAATTGTTTTTCGGAATGGAGGCTCTTTGCAGCGTTCAGCTCAGTAATATTCAGAAAGCTTGGTCTCTGCGATCTACTTTACAAATTATTGAGCGTGTTTGGAGGGTGTGAAAAAAAAAGTTACAGCCTGTTGACTGGCCCTTTAAGCCACAACTCATGGTTGCACAAAGATACACAGACATGTAAAAGATAGAAAAAGATGGCTGTAGTGCCATTGCACAGCTCGCTCAATGCCATTGGAAATACAAGACAAGTTTTGTAAGGTCACCTCGACAAAGCTCTTCCTTTGTTCGCCTAGTTCAAGTGTCAGCTGGAAAAGACGCTTTCCCAATCACAAAAGTGAGACTACATTTAGGCTGGTATAACCTAACAAATTTATTCTGAACACGCACTCACTGTTCTGTCCTTGTGTTCCATTCTATACAACACTCTAACAATGTAGAATCATTCAAAACACCATGATTCGCAAGGAGAAAATGTTTACACCAGCAACTGTTGCAGATGAGAACGATGCATCTCACTTTCGTTTCTGCAAGTGTGGTGCTGAAAGTTTGACTTTGCCAGGTATGTTTCGAGAGATGTCTTGGTCCTTCGTCGCACGCAGAAGGTCCCGTTCCCGTGGACTGGTGTTCTTGTCTAGCAGAAAGACTGACAGTGCCGTCTTGGCCGCCTTTCCCCTCCGCCCCGTGCCGGGTGTTACTTTCACCTTGTGCTTGTAGTTCTGAATGGCAGCATAGGGGGCACACACAGGCACAGCAAACAAGAGACCATCTTCAGCCACTGGGCAACCTGTGAGTGAAGCCAGAAGCCCCTGCTGCTCATCGCCAATATTGCCTTCATCGTCGTCCTCTTCTGCATCAGCCTGCAGGTCCTCATCTTCTACGGGCACTGCGGCCTTGTTGCTCCTGCCTCCATTCTGGCCTTCATGTTCCACTGCATCTCCTGCTGCTGGCTTGTCAGCACCGCTCGTAACTCCCACATCAGGTGGTTGCTCTGGATTATGTCGAGCCTTTGGCTGCTTCCCTTTGCTAGTGATAGCCTGCCCAGTATCCTTTTTGCCCTTTTTCTGCTTGCGACTCTTCGTCTCTTTTGGCACACCGGCTGACGCAAGGATCTCCATGCGTAGACGACGCTCGTCTTCATCTTGGTCCTTGTACTTTTCCTTGATTTTCTTCAACTTGCCATGCGTCCCTCTCTTAGGCTTATTTACCTTTTCAGCATTCGTAAGAGGTGGCACTTCTTGCGAAGGTGGCTGAGGCTTTGGCTTAGCTGGAGGTGGTTTGCGGCTGAGTTGCGGCCCTCTTGTTGGCTGCAAATAAACAATCTCTTCGGCTGCATCATGATCGTCCTGCTTCGAAATTGCTGTCTCTAGCTCATGAGGAAGCTTCACAACCGTGTCGGGGAACAGCTCAGCATCGCCTTTCATACTGTCCACACCAACATTCCCCTTGACACTACCCTTCTCGGAGTCGGACTCGTCGGAAATCTCCAACTCGGGTCCTTCTTCTGGCAGCTCCGCGCTAGCCTCTGTTTCATCCTCTGCCACACGCACCCTGCGCTCAACTCGATGCCTCTCAATGCTCTCGTCATCCAACTTGTAGAGAAAGCCAAAACCCATAATGAGATATGAAGGGGGCAGGTAGTTCTTTTTACCACGAATCATAAACGCTCCCGGTGTGAGGTACTGTCCTGTCGGTGCTGTTTTAGAAACTTGGTGGTGATGCACCCACCAGGCACTGGTCACAACTTTTGCATCCCAGGCCGCACTGTAGCATATGGCCATGGTTCCAGCCTCGTTCAAGGTCTTGGGTGGCACGGGTGCCCCTGATGGGTTTTTGATGACGATGCTGCTAGCACCGTGGAGATCTGCATGCACGTAAATGTCACCAAGCCGCAAGTACTTCTTCACAATAGCCTCATTCTGCTGTGCATCACGCCCTCCCACGACCAAGTAGTCCTCCGAGCTGATAAACCAGAAGAACTTCTCAAACCAGAATGCCTTTCGTGCTTTAGCAATGTTAGTGGTGAGTGCTACTTGCTTAAGTGCCTCGCGCGTCTTCTTTTCAGCCGACTTGTATGCCTTTACAGATGATTCTATCGTTTTCTTCTGCTTGCCCGCTGCATGCTTTTTCTGATCATAGAATTTGCGCGCATTGGCATACGCAGAGAGGTCGATGTCAATGTCAACCAGGGCTTCTTTTCCTTCGTCGTACGGGTCCTTCAGCAGCATCTCAAAGTGATTCGTCTCAAGCTTGAGTTTGCGGATGGAACGAGCCATGGGGTCACCTTGCTCCTGGGCTTCCTTGAGCAACTCCGTGATCTCGGCCCAGCCGATCTGGTTGGCAAGAGCACTGCGGACCACACACAGGGCACGTTCCACTAAATCCAGATTCATTTCAATCAGCTCTGCTTTCCACGCGTCCACTTGCTGCACCTCTTGAAGAGCCTGAATTCTTTTCTCGTGGTCCGTGCGGATGTTCTCCAATTTCTTGAGCGCCTCCTTCTCACGTTGGTGGGCGCGTAGAGTAATCTTCTGCATTTCAATGCTCGAGAAGAACTGATCAACCGCAGCACTGAACGATGGAAGCTCAATCGTGGAAATGGCACCGGTTCCAGAATTGTGCTGGTGCCAGAGGAATGGGTGGAACTCCTGGTAAGCTGTGATTTCGGTGCTTCCATCCTCGGCGGGCTGAATGCGTTTCTCTATCCGCTGGACAATGTAACCACGACACGACTCGGTCTTTGCACGCGCCATGATAGCATCTGCATCGTGCAAGCATTCCAGGACTTTTTCTGCAAGTCCTTCAACTGGAAATGTGATGATCTTGGCTCCGGCTGACAGACCGTGGCCCAACAACACATGTTCAAGAAGGGCTGGACCATACAGAGTCCTGGTGTAAAAAGAGAAAATGGTGTGCAATGAGATAATAAAGCCTCCAAACAATGGTATGTCATGAAGGATACACAGAAAGAACCATTTAATCACACCTCTAGAACAATAGAAAACCTCACAGGAACATTTTAGTGGCTACAGTATTGCAGGTCTGGGAAACATAATGCAACTTGTTCATACTATAATCGAAATAGCAGCCATAACGGTATTTCTGGGGTTGATTACAATGTAAAAGCACCACTCTTAATGATTCTATTGGCATCAAGTCAATGAAACACGCCTCTGGTTCATAGTTCCAGGATAACTAAACTTTTTCAGCAATCCCTCAGTATACCTGACATTTGTTCCGTTTTGGTTGTCTAGGTGCAATAATAAAAGCTCATCTTTCAATCACAGCCCTATGTTTAACAGTGCAACACTTCACGCACATAACATCACCTTCATGGAACGTATTTCGTACGTTCCCACGAGAGCCCTTCTGCACACCATAGGTTGAAGAAATGTTAAGGACAGGACCCAAAAAGATGAAAAAAATGGGGCAAGAGGACAGGGAGTCACCTGAAACAAATTTTAGTGACTGGCTGTCAATCCCAACCACATGTCTCATTGCAGTGCACTGTCCCTCCCTCCTTTCCCTTGTTGCGGCTCTCGGCGCTGTACTCCAGTTGTTGCAGATCTCAGCACTGTTTACCAGTAGTCACTTCGAATCCCAGCGCTGATCACCCGTTGTTGCCGACCGGGGTTTACCCGGTCTTTTGTGGTAGCGTGGCGTAACTTCGGGTTGAGGAAACGAATGCTGACACGATGAGAATACGAAAAACAAACAAGGTTTATGGCACTATTTACACTTATTTACAGCATAGAGAGGTTAGAAGTTTCACAAACCACGAGTGCAGTGGTTGAATCGTTACATGGTTCAGAACCACGTCCAGCACTCTGCAGCGTCGTTTTAAGCCCTGTCGGGCTCCTCCTTCTTGATTGGAACACCAATCACACACACAAGACACCACCCATAGAGCATCAGTCAGTAACACACGGTCGGCCGAATAGTTATTGCCCCTTTTGATGCAATGCTTTGAGGAGAAGGGAAATGGGGATTCTCTCCCGGAACAATTTGGGAGTTGGGTTGCTCCTTCCGCTTTTCCCTGTAAGAGCAGCCAAGGAGTAGATACTTGAATCACGGAGACATGACCTGTGCGGTCAGTCTGCTTCACCGTCTCGCTAAACAAGCCGGCCCGGAGTAAGTTCGGGAAAAATTTTATGTGTTAGTCACATAAATTTGTGCGCACTATTGTTTGTTTCTGTGCTTTTGTTGATTTTTCTATACCCGCTCCTGCAATGTCCCAGACATGGGACAGCAGTACTTGTAAATAAAAATAAAAAAAATAAACTGCTTGTAGGGACTTTGGCTTACGGACCGTCTTCTAATCCTTTTGTTCGCTCCCCGCCGTTAGATCTGAGAAAACTGGTGTTCCGGGCGTGGGAGCACTGCCCGGCTACGTTTCTCAGCGACAGCATGGCGCCTACGGACGAGTCATAACAGCTTCCCCCTCACCAGATGAGTCACGGAGAGCAGCAGTCATTGCTGCTGCTCTAAGAGACGACAAAAGGGTCCGTAGTTGAATACCACCAACTTGCCTTCGCTTGTCGCATTGTATGAGTAATTGCCGAAAACTTCAACAGCGTCTCTGAAACTCGATCACATGCACAAGCAAGCACTCGGCCCCCTTCGAACAAACCAAGCCGAAAGAGGGATGGCAAACCAATTTTTTTTACTAGCTTTAAAGAAAAAGCTCACACTCAAAACTATCAGGACTCACTTGAGCCGAAAAACCAGACATGCTACCTTACACATTCACATAAGTTGCACGAAAAAAAACTCAAATATCAATTTTGATACATTGTCAAGAGCACCCCTGAATAGTTTAGAAAGAGTGGCTGAGCGCATCAGGGTTTTCCTTCAATTTGCCCTTCTTATACCTATTTTCAAAATGATATTTTTGAATAATCAAGCTCCACCTCAAGAGGCGACAGTTCTTCGATGTCACGGTTTGCAGCCACATAAGGGGGCAATGGTCTGTCTTTACTTTAAATTTAGCACTTTTGAGATAGCACTGCAACTGATGAATGGCCTACACAATGCAAGCGCACTCCTTTCCTGAAGTGCAGTGCGTTATCTCCCGAGAGCCCAATTTCTAGCTCAAGTAAAGCACAGCTTTGCTTGTTACCACTGTCGTTGTGACATAGAACGGCTGCCTCCTTTTCATCGCTGATCACTTTCATTGGTTCTGTCCCGCTGAGAGCATCGGTCCGGAACTCGGATTCAGCGAGCGCTAAAATTGTCTTAACATCCGTCTTACTTTACGGCGCCCAATAATTGTCTACTACTGAGACATTAAGCTATCTAGCTTTTCTTATGTACGCTGTGGCTAAAATTGTCTTCGTTTGCTCAACATTTGAAAAAAGCTTACTGTTACACTCATATGATCACTTCATCAATCGTTTTCAAAGAGAACCAATAAAACATAGAAACAAACACTGCTTTCTAGAAGGTTTGTTTGGTTAAAGTTGCCTCATTATGCGAATGCTTCTGAGTAAAACCCACTAGGCTCTCCTGAGCGCTTTATTTACTCTCCTACAGCATTGCAAAATACGTGGCACTATTAACGAAACGCATAATCCCTTACAGTTTGTCTAAACGTTCATTCTTACGTTACGTTGTAACTCACTGTGTACAACAGAAAAATAATCCTAGGTGCTATACTAATCAAAAGCACCTCACAATAATGCACAGGTTTTTGCTGAAACCATGCACCAATGGCTCTCGATTCTCACAGCGCACAACGAAAACTCCACTGTGTCGTGCCAAGCTTAATCATTTTACAAAATCATTTGGTCTATGCTAACATCTTGCTACTTGAAATTCTCGTTCACGTCACATCCCCATGGCAGTGAAGGCATACAACATTACACTAAACCTTTGAAACACCAGAAAAATAATATATTTTCTTGGCTTTTACGTTATGCAAATTTTGCACTAATGATTTAATCACTTCGATGCAAACTTCAGCATTGGTTCAGCGGTTCTCCTTCTGAAAAGTTTACACCACATCACGTAACTTACGAAATTAAATGACTGAAGTCTACATCTACAAAGCAACACTAAGTAACCATACTTAGCACGCGCGTGCAACAATTACTCAAACTACCACCCCCTTTTCTCAACTAGATTCGCTTGAATCGCACTTGATGGGGTCGCGGTCCTGGCGATTTTCGAACACGCCAGAGGCTGCAAAACGCGCAAACGTTAGGCTGTGTCCTGCTGTCACGCCTCATTTTGCACTTCGGCCAGCTTTCTTCAGGAATGTGAAAGGGACGCCACAAGCAGGGGGGAAGCCTGTGCCATTCTCTTTTTGTGTTCTCCCCTACGCGGTATTTAGCCACTCTGCCCTTTCGACTTTGACCCTTCGGGCAAGGCCGCTTTCCCGAAGTTGTTGAACTGAACCGCGCACTTCGTTGGGATGACATACTTCGTTTTCCCCTCTACACCTGGCTCGCTGCTTGTGCCTCTATGAACGCCACCATTGACGTTTCTTGAAATGAATTAACGGCCTAGCCTTTCGTCTTTCTCGAGACGGAGTGGGATCTGCCATAGGCTTACAGAGTGCTGAACGCCTACACTTCTTTTTTTTTCGGCGACAATTGTTTGCCTCCTTTTTCTCGATGCCATATCATCATGTCGGGTCGTGACCTGAGGAGTTGGGAGCTCGCTGGAGCTTGTGCTACACCTTCCCTCAAGCTCAAACATTTTAACTTTATGTCACGACGGAGTGTCGGGCCAAATTATCTTTGTTAACGCTGATAAAATCATTAACTGGGCCCTCTCCGATGGCATCGCTGCACTCCTGAAGCATCGCATTCTTGCTTTGATTAGCCACTGCACTAACCATGCCTACATTTGATGATGTCGAAGCATCCCCTTGAGGCATGAAGTTTTTCAGCTCCATACTGGGCCCATTAGGGCTGCTGGCACCTTGCTCATCCGTCTTTTGACATCATCCCTACTGCCAGACTGGCCACGGCCTCATTCTCAGCATAATCTACCTTGATGGATTCTAGAATATGCGGGCCCTTTACTAGCGCAATCTCTGGTTCTAGCGCTTCATGACGCGGCTCAACTTCCGGCGCTTTGCGACGCGCCTCGCTTTCAGACTCCGGTCTGAGTCTTTCTTTTTGCTAATAGAAGTTCCAAATCTCCTGATTAGCTCTGCTTTAACAACTTCGTAGTTGTTCGCGTCCTGCTCACTGAGTCGCGCAACAACATCCACTGCCTCGCAGGACAGAACCGTGAGTAGCTTCTGAGACCAGGTGTCTCGCTCACATGACAGTTGCCTACACTTTCCTTCAAAGAGTCTAACATAGAGCCCCATATTCCATGATACCTCATATGGCTGCATGTACCTAGACATCTCGAACTCTGTCTCATTGTCGAGAAGTACTCCTCGCTGGATTCTAAACTTCTTACTCAACTCCATATCTTGGTTCAAAAACTTTATCTTGAAGCCTAGTTATTCGTCTTCTCCCTTTCCTTCCATCTGAGCTGCTCTTAACTTTCTTTCAATGATGAGGTCCCATTCTTCGCTTAGTTTCTCATCATCAGCCCCCAAATCATTAATCACTTGCATGATTATGGGTTTTCGTGCCAAACCCTTTGTATCAATTCCCAATTCCTCACACAACAGCAACAAGTCTGACTTCTGCAGCTCCCGTAAGTCCATGATCGTACTGAGTGCTCGCTACTTCCAAAAAAGCTTCCCGAAACAGCAAAACTGAGTCTTTCGGCAAAGTTAATTACCAGTTCTAAAATTTACCCTCTTTTAGAACCTGGTTCACTCAAAGTAAAAGCCAAGCACTCACCTATATGTGATCCATTTCTCGAGCCAGCTGCTTCCCTTGGGCCGACTGTTGTTGTCACTTGTAGCTTCGTATCCCACCGCTGATCACCAGTTGTTGCGGCTCTTGGCGCTGTACTCCAGTAGTTGCGGATCTCAGCACTGTTTACGAGTAGTCGGTTCAAATCCCAGCGCTGATCACCCGTTGTTGCCGACCAGGGTGTACCGGGTCTTTTGTGATAGCGTATAGCATGGCGTAACTTCGGGTTGAGGAAACGAACGCTGACAAGATAAGGATACGAAAAACAAACAGGTTTATAGCACTATTTACACTTATTTACAGCATAGACAGGTTAGGAGTTTCACAAATCACGAGCGTGGTGGTTGAACTGTTACATGGTTCAGAGCCACGTCCAGCACTCTGCAGCGTCGTTTTAACCCCTGTCGGGCTCCTCCTCCTTGAATGGAACACCAACCACACACACAAGACACCGCCCACAGGGCATCAGTCAGTAACAGGCGGTCTGCCGAACAGTCATTGCATCTTTTGATGCAATGCTCTGAGGAGAGGGGAAACGGGAATTCTCTCCCGGAACAATTAGGCGGTTGGATTGCTGCTTCTGCGTTTCCCTGGAAGGGCAGCCAAGGAGTACATACTTGAATCATGGAGACCCGACCTGTGCGGTCAGTCTGCTTCGCCGTCTCGCTAAACAAGCCAGCCTGGAGGAATCGCTTGTAGAGACTTTGGCTTACGGACCGTCTTCTAATTCTTTTGTCGCTTCCCGCCGCTGGATCCGAGAAAACTGGGGTTCCGGCCGTGGGAGCGCTGCCCGGCTACGTTTCTCAGCGACAGCATGGCACCTACTGACGAGGGTCATAACACCCCATAGGTCAAGCCCAGCTTCACAATGTATCTAAAAACTTGGAGAATGCTTCAGGAGTGAAATGTACCAGGCGCCGTGTGCATTGTCTTCAGCCATACCGCAAGGAAATGAACGTTTTTGAGCTGGCCATTTCAAAGTATCCAAGAATGTCTACCAAACGCCCAGTGCTTATTGTGATATAATTTTAAAAATCCTTTCTCTAATTGGTGACATATCCACCATTCATTTATAAGGTGCCACTTGCATAACCGCACCATTTGTAATGGTTGTGCCACCCACTCGTTATGCCATTCACATGTTTTTATGCCTGGTGCAATTAGACAATTCTTACATGCAAAACAATGTGTTAAGGAGACTCCTTCCTTGTATGACATTGATATATTGTTTTCTTGCAATGAAGTGACTCTGAGATAGATTTTCATGCCAACCATGCAGGCAACCTGAGTGCGATTTTTACTTTAGTAAAAATCGCGGTGGTTACTTTTACTAAAGTCAAATAAAAATTTATATCAGAGTGAAAGCTCAATGTATGACAACATCTAAAACGACACTCTTTATTCAAAGGTCGCGTTAACCGAAGGTCGCAGGTTCAGTTCTTACCCTAAGCAAGTTATTTTTTCAACCACTTTTGTTTTCTTCTAGTTTATACTACAATTACTTCTATTAACATCCCCTATACTTTCCTTGGACACCGTGCCCTTCGTGCAGCACTCACGTGATCCCCCTCGCAACCACCACTCGTGCTTACAGCCTCGCTCAGGCTTCGCCGTCACTTACCAAAACTCGCTTGCTCCCACCTAATTATTTGGGCTACTGCTAGAGTGAGCACGGAATACCACGCAGAGTACGAGTACCTTGGCGTGAGCAGTTTGCGGAGCGTGTCACCGTGTGCCGCTTGAGCCAGCACCTGGGACAGCTGCGGGGCGTCGAGCGAAGGCGGCTCGGCCAGCGCACTCTGGACGGGGTACTTCTCGCGCACAGCGAGCTTGACGTCGTCGTCCTTGCCCAGCGCTCGAGGCCTCAGGATGTTGAGGATGAGGTAGTCGCCGTCGGTAAGCACCACGTTGCCCCGATCATACAGCTCGAGGATGACGTGGTACGCCGCCTCGCCCGTGCCGAACTGCAGATCCACGACGCGGTCGGCGCCCAGTTGCGCCAGCCACTCGATGCGCTTGTTCTTCAGGTGCTTCCTCAGCTTCATAGCGAAGCCCGACGGGCTCTGATTCTTGGGCCACGCGAATTCGGTGGTGTGCAACCGCACGCCAGACTCGATGAGCAGCACGGCCTTTTCCTCGTGCCGGCTTAGCTTGAACAAGTACGTCTTTGTGTCCACGTCGTACACCTGCACAACCCGCATGCCGACGACGCTCTTCTGGAGCTCGGCGACCATCGCGAGGATGTCGACGGTGCTGAAGCGGCTCTTCATGACTGATGCTGTCGGCTCAAGTGGAAGCCCGTCGACAGCTAGCGACTGCTGCGATCGCAGAGCACTGTGGCGCCAAAATATCCGTCATGTTTCGATCAAGCAACCGAGCCGCGCGTTTTTAGCTCTATAATGCGCAAGCTTTCAACTCCTCTCCGCTGGTTTTCATCCGAGAACGGACGACGACACGAATGTTCGAGCATGCACACGATACAAACGTACTATGGTGCCCACGGAGGAAGGATGATGTGCCTAAAAACGAATGTCGTACCAGTGCCTCCTTTATAACTTTCAGTGCCCGGTAAAAGCGGAAGAGAACAATGGGACTACTCCGTCGGCGCGAGTGCGGCGCCTCGACATCAGATGCCGCTGCTTAAACAGGGTGCCGGAGTTCGCTACTCGCCGCAGCCGCCGTGGTTCTGGCTCCGCGCTGAAAAGTAAACAGATTAAATCCTTAATATTCTGCTCTCAAACCTCAATATATCGCGGCTGTAATCGCTGAATTATGTTACCGAGTGTTTCAGAGATCTGGTTGCCAGCTTTCACGCACTAGCCGCAAGCGAAGAACGCCACGCTAATGAATACCAAAAACATGCCGTGTACGCACGCACCTACATGCTTGGACATGATGTACATGAATTTCCAACGTTGACTTGCCTTGCATAGCAGCTCTATATTCTGCAAAATTAACCCAATTGATGCGATACGAATACATTTTGAAAAAAGAAGCAACATTTATTCGTAAGTACCTCTATTTTCGGTAGCCTCACAGTTTTGCATATTTTCTTGACAGGGGCTTTTTCGCGAAGTACTTGAAAGCATCATGCTTGTCACTGACAGTGAATGCATAGTTCACCAGCAGGGGCCGCAAAAACCGAACAGATATCAGCTCCATGAGCTTAGCTCTGTGAGTGTCATCCATCTCCTTGCACCTGAGCAGGTTTGGAGCACACAGAGCTGGCACAGCATACTTAACCAGGGTATACAATGGATTTTTTTAGAGTCGGATTGTCCTTCAGAGCACGATCCGCAAATGCCCTTAGCACGTCAACGGCAAACAGCAACTGGTCTGACGGGTAAAGTAGCCCAACTGGGTCCTGGCTGCGGGTGAACTGCAAGACAGGTTGACTGCTCGCTGGATTTGTGCAGACTGCAGTGCAACTTCCACAACACATGTGCTCCTTTATGACGCGGGCAATATAGCCCCCAACATAAACAGTTGCAGAAATCTCAAGTGATGGCAAGTGCTGAGGCAAGACTGTTGCATTGAGCTGTTGCAAAACACATGCAGCTCTCTGTAGCTGAGGCAGCTGCTGTGTTAGTGAAGGAGAAGCTTCAGTGAGCAGTGTGCCTGTTGACATTTGGGCACATTCTCTGTGTGCAACGTTTCATGTCATGCTGGATGCGGCAATTCCAGTTTTTAAAACCTTCTCCAGCCTTTCCAAAACAGAACGAACATTCAGCATGTCATTGCAGCCAGAGGACATCCACAGTGTTCCAAACAGCGACTTGATGGGGTCACTATTAAACTTACGCGTGAGCACAAACAAGAACTTCTCCTCTGTGAGCAGGTACTTGATACAGGCAACAGTGGAATATGTGGTCAGGAGGAATGCTTCATACGTTTCTTTCGTCAAAAATTCCTTTTGACTTCGACAGCTTTTTTCCAGTTCATCCAAGTACATGCGCAGCGTGACATCGAGCCACTCCAGTCTTGCATCTTCAGCATCGTCAAACTGCCGAGTGTCAGGCCATTTTTTGTGAATATGCTTGGTCGTATTGCTTGTATCATGCAGCACGAACCATCGATAGATGCTTTGCATGAAAATGATGGTCTGGCCTGCAGCTGCGAATGATACACTCGATGTATGCCCAGCTTGGTCTCCGAGATGCTCCAGGGCTGCAGTAACATCAGGCGAGAAGACCTGAATTGCCCTTGCGACATTAATTTTTCTATGTTATTCGGATAGACATGTTTTCGGCTGAGGTAGCGGACAGGCTTTACAACCAGGTCCTTCTGTAGGTCATAGAGCTTCTTGATGTAGCAGGATGAGACCTCTCCTTTCGGACCAATGTCGTGGGCCAGAAACTGCGAGCGCACGTTTTTTAAAACGTGGCATGCATCAAAACTTAAAAAGAGGAGCCTGTCGCAGTCACAGGGATGTTCTATCCGGTACGTAAGAAGACCATCGCCCAAAAGTGTCATGGCATTGACGTTCACTCTGTGGTTATCACTCACTAAGCGAACTACCCTGAAACCACAGGCTTCTACTTTTTCAAGCACAAAAATCAACAACTTGTGAAGCTGTGGGCCTGTTAACCCCTTGGTAATATAGTAGGCCACTGGAATGCGATACGATGTCGAGAGTCCTGTAATTAGGAAGCAGAGAAGAGAAACAATACACAATTGTATCGGGCCAGTTGGTAAGGATACATCTTGCTAGGAAGCGCAGCCACTATTACAAAGAACACACAACACAAGAGAAGAGAGTTTGCTAAGGTGAGGTCCCCGCCATGTTGTTCCAAAGAGACATCGGCGTGCCCCACAAAGCAGTCCTGCTGTTTGTTGTACTGCAGCCTTTCCCTGATCTTCATTTCGTCGACTATGAGTGAATACACCCTTGACTGTGGTACAGTCAAGCTTTCGGCTTCTACTTTGAGGCGAGCTTCGGCGAGTTTGCTGAAGCCCGTTTCGCCACTGGTGACTCCCAAGTAGTTGCTCAAAGTCTTTCTGCAAGGAAGCTTCAAAAGCATTTCACCGCGGATGTGTTCGTACGCCCTTGTCGACAAATGCCTTAAAACTACACAACGTCGGGTTGTCTCCTCAGACCAGCTCGGCCTCTTCTTCTTGAAGTTCTCAATCGGATCAATCAAGAAAAAGGCTGCAGGTTCCTTTTCTTTCGCCCTTTCCTTGATGTAAGAAACATCCGCAACCAGGGCATCCTCGTGCAGCTTTTTCAATTCCATTTTGTACTTGTCGACGGTTTGTTGCAGTTGAAGCAGCTGGCTCCTCAACTCCTTTTCTTTTCTTCTCCACTTCGCTTCCTCAGCTACAAGCACACTTGAAGTTGACCTATTGTCTACCTGGACGCCTTGATCACGCAAGTTGGCCTCCGACGATGTGTCCATCGCGCCACAATCCGACATATCCGCCACTGCTGAAGCAACGTTGCCGCTCGCGGAGTCGCTGCGCGCCATTGTAGCACTCACTCGTTTGTCGATGCTTGCTGTATTTCTCGCAGGAGTTGATTTCGGCTGGAGATTGGGCGGGTATTCTTCAAAAACTGACGGCACAGCCCCTTTCTTTAGGCGTCGCCGCTTGCCTTCGATGAAGTCCTCTTCTTTGAAGTGGCGACTGCATACTTTGGTGTAGCATGAGGCGGTGTTCGGCGACCACTTGTCTCGTCGTATTGCGGCAAGCCAGCGCGCTCGAGCGTCTGCGTCCGCGGGTAGTTCATGAAAGGAAAGCCCTGCCGGTTTCTTTTTCTCGTCCGATTTGCACAGCGGAACACAGCAGTAGTTCATCGTAAAGCATTCTTCGCATATACTTGCCGAAAACTGTCCCACAAAACGAAGTTGTGCACCACTAAACGGGCTGCACGCAACACCCGGACAGAATGGCAACAGCGGCACCCTGTTTACCCAGCGCTTCTAGCGGGAGCAGAGAAATGTGGCGTTCGACGGCCCCCCGTTGGCAGTGTGCCCGGCACAGATTTTTATACAGGAGGCACTGCTCGTACCATGCTCGTCTTGGATTGATACAACTATCAACGCCTTCCTTGCCTGCCGCATCAACGCCTCACCTAGGAAGATGCCTGCCGCATGAGGAAAAAAAATCAACTGCCACACCCTTTCACTCCTTCATTTTGAAAATGTTCTTGGTCGCTAGCGTCACTTGTGGTGGACGGTGCAACAACGCAACACTTTGCATAGCCTTCGAAACAGTGGTGCACAGTTGCAGGTCTTGAACAACTCTCGACAGACGCGCCCCTATGGGCCGCAGATGATTAACGCTTAGCTGGTACTGCCCGTCGCCGTGATAACGGATGGATGGATGCTATGAGCGTCCCCTTTATAACGGGGTGGTGACAAGTATGCCACCAGGCTCGACAAAAAAAAAAAAAAAAACCTTTTTTTTTTATGTTGGCCTAATGCCTCTACTTCAATAAATTCTATCTTAATGGAAAAAAAGGTAAATTTTCAGCTTAAGTTCTCTGCCATTTACGGCACACTGTCCATATTTTATTTTTCCAATATTTATTTTTGTCCTTTCTCTCTAATTTTCTGCCACCAATACTCTAACCGTCTCTTACTTATTTCAATCGCGGGTGTGTTCAGCTTTCCATTGTTGTCCCTAAAACCCAAGGCTTCCTGTAGGCTCGTGCCCAAACGTACACCTGGGTGGATATCTCCACATTCAATCAGAACATGCTCCGCCGTTTCCTTATCTTTCCCGCAGCATGTGCATTGTTCTTCTTCTTTACTGAATCTTGCTTTATAACTACGCGTTCTAAGGCAACCCGATCTCGCTTCAAACAGTAAAGCGCTTCCCCTTGAATTATCGTAAAATGCCTCCCTCCTTATTTCATTTTTGCCCTTTCGGTAGTTACTCAAAGCCGGTTTTTTCTCCATAGCTGCCATCCAGTAAATCCTCTCCGCCTCCCTGACTTTTCCCTTAACGCTCTTTGTTGACATACGGCTTACAATACCAGCCGTATACTTACTAGTGAGTCTTCTAGTTCTTTTTCTCCACTGTGTGTCCACGCTCTTCCTATACAAATAACGGAACACCTTCTCTGCCCATCTACTCTCCTTAATATTTCTTAGCCTTTCTTCGAACCTTATTTTGCTGTGCGCTTCCCTCGCCTCAAAACCTGCCCACCCCATATCGCCCTTTACAGCCTCGTTTGTCGTCTTCCCGTGAGCACCCAACGCGAGGCGTCCCACAGTCCTTTGATTTACATCCATTCCCGCTTGCACCTCTGCCCTCATGCACACCACTGAGTTCCCAAAAGTAAGCCCTGGAACCATTACACCCTTCCACAGACCTCGAAGCACCTCATACCTATTGTATCCCCACAACGCTCTGTGCTTCATTATTGCCGCATTCCTCCTTCCTTTTGCTGCCGAGGCTTTTTCCTGTACCTCCATGTATCTATCACTCTCATTTACCCATACTCCAAGGTACTTGTATTCACTTACCCTCGGTATTTCTTGGCCTTGTATGGACACCGTCTGATCACAGGGATCATTGAATACCATCAATCCACACTTCGTTACACTGAATCCTAGTCCAAGAGCTTCACCTTCCCTTCCGCATATATTCGCCAGCTGCTGTATATCATCTCGACTGTCCGCAAATAAGACGATATCGTCCGCATAAAATAAACCTGGAAGCTTCTGCTCAATCATCATGCCGCCCTGTTTGTGTGACAGATTAAAACCAATGTTGCTACCTTCTAGCGCTTTTTCCATACTCACCATGTACAGCATGTATAACAGCGGGGACAAAGGACATCCCTGTCTCAGACCCCTGCTAACCTCAACGTTCTCTTTGCTACGCATTCCTTCCCACTCTATGCAAACTGTATTTTCTCGGTATATCTCCCTCAAAAGCTGTATACAGTCGTCGCCCATGCCCATTCCTTTCAATATATCCCACAAAATTTCCTGATTAACGTTGTCGTATGCCCCAGTGATGTCTAGAAAAGCCACGTACAAGGGCCTATTCTCTATTTTGGATATTTCTATACACTGAGTGAGAACAAACAGGTTATCGTCTAACCGCCTGTCGACTCGAAATCCGTTCTGAAGTTCTCCCAAAATATCGTTATGTTCGGCCCATGTTTCTATTTTCATTTTTACTGCTTGCATCGCCATCCTGTATAGTACCGATGTAATGGTTAGTGGTCTATACGAGCGAATCTTGTCCTTTTCTCCCTTGCCTTTATAGATTAAGTTCATTCTACTTTGTCGCCAACTGCCCGGTATTTGTCCGTCCTTTAAGCTTTTTTCTACTGCTTTTAAGCTTTTTTCTAACAGTGTCTGTCGCAAGCGCCACCACGCGGAGCTTGTTTAAAACTGAAGGCAGGCCAACTCTGCTGGGAGCGCGAGCCATTCCTTAGGCATCTTTCTGGAGGAGGCGTTGGCCGGATGAGCATAGAGAAAGAAGAAGACTTATTTCTCTATGGGATGAGCGCGAAACGCTGGATAAATAGATAAATGTGGCTGTACCCTTTGGATCGGGCGGTGGCTATCGTCACCTAGCCGTAATACTTGGCGAACTAATCATTTGATTTATCTATTTTTTTCACTTTAAATTGTAAAGTTTGACGGGTACTATGCAGGAAGGGTTTAATTTTCGCTCATGCCTTGACTTTAGCCACCAATCAGATAACCTCCTTCTAGTTAGGTCTATGTGCTTAAAGTCTATTTTGCCCTCCCTGTTCCTAAACCCCAGCGCTTTGGAAAACTCTGCGCCATCATCCTGAACTATAGGGTGAAGCCCTTTACAGAACATTATCAAGTGTTCGGCAGTTTCTTCTTCCTCTCCACACGCACTGCATACTGTGTCTACCCCTTCGTATTTGGCCCGATATGTCTTGGTTCGCAATACTCCCGTCCTGGCCTCAAACAGTAGAGAACTACCCCGAGTATTATCATAGATCCTTTCTTTGGCAATTTCCTGCTTAAAAGTTCGACAGATCTCTAGTGTGGACTTCTTAATCATGCCGATTCTCCACATGTCAGTCTCCGTTTCCTTCACTTTCTTCTTAACCGATAGTTCTCTTTGGTTTGGCCCCCTGTTGTTCTCCAAGTATTTACCAGTCAGTTTTCTGGTTCGTTTCTGATATTTTGATGCACTGCGTCAGTGAAAACTGATTGTCTTCCAACCTCCTGTGTTTCCGAAATTCATTCTGCAGTTGCCCCAGCACCCCCTCATCCTCTATCCATGCCTGCAGTCTTTCATTTATAATCGGCATTGCCAGCCTGTAGACCCCTGATGTCACTGTTATTGGACGGCAGTTGGTCATGTCAGCTTTGTCGACCTTTCCTTTATAGATCATGCTCATCCTGCTAAGTTTCCATCCGTCGGAAACTTAACCATCGATTATTGTTTTGCTCACTGCCTCTTTCAAAGCCTGTTTAGATTTCGGACCCTATGTCTTTATCAGCATAATTGGAATGCCACCTGGGCCTGTTGATGTACTGCTTGGAACCCTCTTCTCAGCCCTTTCCCACTCTCGTTGTGAAAATGGAGCCATTGTGCCACTTGATCCATCCCTGCCTATTGTGGTGCATAAGGCACTTCTTTGGTGAAATTTTACGCCTGTCATCTATGGCGGCGCTACCCACGTAGGAATAAGAGTTTTTGTACTTAGCCTTTGAGATTAGCAATTTTGGCGTTTGCAAATTAGAGGCTATGTCTTGTATCTAAAGGGTTGCCTGCTGAATAAGCGCAAAACACCTTTCATCTATAGCGACGTCACTTACGTAGGGTATATAAAATTACAATTACGCATAACTCTAAAAACGTAAAAACTTATTTCAAGACACTCACACGCAAGTGACGCCGCCACCATAGTTCCAACGACGGCCGCTTTTCATGTGACCGCCTATAATCCGGCAGGCAAAGACATCTAGGAGGCTGTGAAACTATGCATGACAAATTGTAATAAAACTACAAACAAAAGACGTAAAAGTTATATAGTGCTTCACTTATTAAGAAAATATTAACTATAGTTTGGTGGCACTAGTAGGTTTCGAGTGCAACCCAATCCAGTTTCGAATCGTCGCCAAGGTATATGAGGAGAAATTGGCCGCGTCTGCCGCGTCGTGGCACGAACCTTTTCGAGGCAAAGCGTTTGGTTCACCCAATAGCCGCCTAAAACCGGCTTGACTTGGCTGAAAACGTATAAATAGACGGCGACAGAATCGCCGTGTTGGACATTTTTTGGGGACGTTTAGGTGGTGGAAACGAACGGTCTATGGTTCCTCACTAACTTGTGAGGATCTTTACCGTGTGGTGGTTACTTATCCGTGGTCTTTGCTTGGCCGGGAGCCTTATGCATTCGCGAGAACCGCCTCTGCGCATGGATACGTGGTCTCGTTCGGTAATACTGGGCTTTCGCTCGCAGGATTTCAAGCTGGACGGTTGTGCCCTCGCGATCTCCGACTTCAGCGTAGCTCCCGCCGACTGGTTCGCCCTCCGCGATCTCCTGAAGCCGTGCAGCTCTCGCATTGTGGCACCCCGCCCTTGGACTGCTTCGACCGGATCCCCACTTTCCTATCTCCTTCTTTTTCTCTCTCGTTGGCTGGCTTCTTCTCCGTCTATTTTCCTTCTATTCTTTTTACCCCTCCTTCTTTTTCCCTATATCTTTTATTCCCCATAATCCATTCCTCTGCTGACCTGTTGAGGTGTCCTCGTAAGGAGAGACAGTTACGGGTCGGCACCTTTCTTTTCTTTTCTTCTGTTATAACCACTTATATATATCGGTAATACTGTCCATAAGCAATGTGGTAACGACTTGCCCGATCATGAACACCGTGTGTTATGCTATTTGTGGATGTATGCCGTACGTGTATGTCTGGTAAGTGCGTGTGTAGCGTAAGGATCGATGTGTCGCTTCGGTGAAGTGTATGCTTGCGCCAAAACTTTCATTGAAGCTTCTTCTTGCGTAACTGCGTGAGACAGATACGAAATGCACAAGTTGGAAGCGATGGAATATTACCAAGCGTTCACACGACGTTATTTTCCAAGTGGCTTAAATATGTTGTCGCCAATTACGATAATCGGTTTTCTAAGCTATGTCTTTTCTTGTGGGTGTATACAAAGAAAAAAAAGAAATAAAGTTGAAGATATGCTGGGAGCACTATAAATATTCGCTCAAAATTGCCACCTTAAGCGTCTTCTTAAAATTAGACAGTGCCGCAAGGCAGTCGTGCCTTGCGGTGAAGTGCACGCTGTGTATTGCGGTAAAGCATACATATTGCGCGCGCTCGTGTTTAAATTGGAAATGTAGCACTGACATTGGGCCTCCTGTGTGCACCTAAATTGTACACGCGCTATCCTCTGCCTCATCAGTGACGATGCGGCAGTCAGTATCGTCATCATCTTCAGCTTGTGTAACAAGCACAGAACAATTTACCTAGTAAAATATATTTTGTGGCAGGCAATTTGCAAGGCATTCAGATGTTAGTTCATTGCAGGATTAATTCAAGATTGTTAAATGGCACCTTCAAATAAACGAAACATGCATATGAGAGGCTTCAGTCGTACTTCAAAATTTGTGCCATGCCTCAAATTGAAAATGATTATAAAGAAAATATATGCTAAGGCTGGGTGTAGATTACCATTCACAATTCAATTACCATTCATATTTTAGAAACTTAGAAAATTTGTAGCTCATGTTTTCCTATCGAGTAAGCACAAAAATAACTGTTGAAGAATGGTCTACAATTACTCACACAGTTTGCAAGAAATAGATCTTTGAAACGTATGTCGTGCCAGAACTAAGTGCAAGGTGGTTAGAGGAAACTGGTTATGACCCGACATAATAGCGCATGTTCGAACGTTTTACATGGGCTGCTTGTTGGCAAATTGGGGTGGGAATTAGGTAAGTGCCTGCAGGGATCTGCACCAAGAGACGAAACCTGCTACATCTTTTTCATAAATTTCATTATTTGTGTCAAGCATGCGTGCACTCTTCGTTGTTGTGTTCTCTCAGGGAGCAAGTATATGGCATACGCTTGAAATCCATACGTTACCCCTGCGATTTGAAGATGTTATCACAGTGGACATGAACGTGCAATGTAGTTGAAAATGTTGCTGGGCACCAACTTTCTTAACAATCTGAACCCGCTTATACTACAAAAGTTACCATGTGACTTCAGCCAAATAGTTTCTAACTGTTGTGGTTACTGTCAGATAAAAGTAATAATGAGCTAGTGGTGCTTGGACAACAGTCTTGCTTTACTGTATTAAAATACAGTAATTTAGTACCTGCATATAGAACTGACCACTTAGTTATTTTTTTTTATTTGTGGTCCTATTTGTTACAGTTGTAGTGAATAAGAAAGACGTTGATACCATCAGGTCAGCTATCATCAGCACAAAAAAAACTTTTACAAGATTGCGTTGCAGAATTCCTCAACTGAATTATTATTTGCATAAAGTTGGTCTAAAGGCGTCACCTTTATGTCAGACTTGCCAAAAAATGGAAACGATAGATCACTTCTTTTTGTTCTGTCGCCGGTATTCTCATCAGCGGAAAAGATACCTGGTAGCTCCACTTGAAAAATTGGGATTAGAATTAAATGTGGCAGTAATTTTGTCGTTTGGCAGCATTAAATTCGGTTATAGCCACAGGGACGTCTGCTCTGCGGTATTTGAATACATAATTGAAACAAAGCGATTGCCATGTTAATCTGCCTATATATGTATATATATATATATGTGTGTGTATGTGTGTGTGTATATATATATATATATATATATATATATATATATATATATATATATATATATATATATATATATATATATATATATATATATATATATAGACCCACCATTACCTCTGTCTCAAATCGCATCTGATGGCCTGCATCGCTCCCTGCTCAGATATACTCCTTTTTCGATTTTCGGCTTTCCTTTCTATATTTTTTTTAGCCCAAAATTACGTTTTCTTTGAAAAACCATTAGCCTTTTAGCTAAAATCCTGCCGCCCGGTTCTTGGCCGATCCCTCTTTGTGGGTGTGCGCCAGAGTGTCAAGGATCATCATCATCATCATCAAAAAGGCACGAGATCGGCGATCAAGCACCGTCATCTGGGTTCGCCTGCCTTCCTTTAGAGCTACCACCCGCTTGCTGAGTCCTTCAATAAACCCCCTTTACATTTGGTGGATCGTGCTGGGTAACTGCATCACCTACACCCTGAAACTCCGATCCCGCACCCTGCCGTCGACCATGCAAGTTGACGCTGCCCAACAGACAGCACCTCTCGCGGCTCCTACTTGCCCCGGCCCGGTTCACCAGCGAGACCCCCCGATCTTTTCGGGCGCCGAAGACCAGGACGTCGAGGACTGGCTGTCGTCCTACGAAAAAGTCAGTGGACCAAACAGGTGGGATGACGCTGCTAAGTTGAGCACCGTCAACTTTTACTTGGCTTATGTGGCGAAACTGTGGTACACAAACCACGAATCCGAGTTCGAGAACTGGGCCACTTTCAAGCAGGCAATATCCTCGGTTTTCGGTCGCCCTGCCGTGCGGAAGTTGCGCGCCGAACAACGCCTGCGCTCACGGGCACAAGAACCTGGCGAAATGTTTACCGCCTACATCGAAGATATACTCGATCTCTGCAAGCGCGTCGATGCCGCAATGAGCGAAAGTGCCAAGATCCAGCACATTATGAAAGGTGTTGATGACGACGTCTTTCAAATGCTCCTGGCGAAGTCTCCTGGCACGGTGTCTGAAGTGGTAACTCTGTGCCAGAACTACGACGAATTGCGACGGCAACGAGCTCTCACCCGTCGTCCATTTCAGCCTAACCAACCACTCGCTGCACTGGACGTCGTACCTGACCACTCCCGCCTTCTAGCACAAATAAAAGACTTTGTGCGTGAGGAGGTCGCCCGTCAGCTTTCCCTCCTGCCGTTTTGTCAGCACCAAGAGCTCCCGCAGCAGCAGCAAGAGCAACCACCGACACCGTTCGCTCCCATGCTCCGACACGCACTTCAGGACCAGATTGCCGAGGCTATGCCAGTGCCCTTTCAGCAGCAAATTGTCGCCGCGCCTCTTACTTATGCTGACGCAGTAAAGAGGCAGCAGCCACACCAGCCCTCGCCGCTCAATGGACTGCCGCATGTCACCGCTCCTACTCAGTCTTTCGTCGCATGGGCTCCTCCCCTCGCTACCACAGCCTCGACTCAGCCGTATGCCGCGTGGGCGGCGCCCCTTGCTGCAAATGCCTGGCGAACGCGCGATAACCGGCCGATCTGTTTTGCGTGCGGCAGACCTGGCCATATCTCCCGATACTGCCGTCGTCGCATGCCCGCCTACACAGACGTCCGACCACGAAGCAACTACATGGACCGACCACCTTTTGGTTATGAAAGTTCGGATCATCAGTCAAACACGTCTTCCCGTGACTATCCAGCAACTTCGTCTCGTCACTCACCTTCACCCAATTGACGCTCCTTGTCACCCATGCATCCACGACCAGCCCCTCAAAATGAGGGAAACTAGCCGTCACAGTTCAAGGGGCAAGAACTGCGCTATCGAAATCTTCAAGTCCTCGCACCTTGCCGTCAAATATCGTCGAAGTTTTTGTAGACGGCGCCCATGCATACGCTCTTGTGGATACCGGTGCCGCTGTGTCTGTTATAGACGCCAAACTTTGCCGCAAGCTCCGAAAGGTGACCACGCCGCTTGATATGTTCTTACGTGCAGCAAATGGGGAACCTGTTCGACCTATAGCCGCCTGCACTACCCGACTCAAAATTTCGGAGGACCACTACATTGTTGAGTTTATCGTCCTTTCCTCGTGCTCTCATGACATCATACTTGGCTGGGATTTCCTATCCCGTAATCGTGCCATTATAGATTGTGCCCGTTCCGAACTTGAACTGCTTCCGGTCTTCGACCAGCCCTATGACCACACTAATCAAGCCGCGCACAAGCTAGTTGTCAAAGAAGACACTGACATTCCACCGACAACAGCTGTTTTGCTCCCTGTGGTCTCCGACGGCATGCGTGATGAAGTAGCATTTTTCGAGCCATCAAGCCTCTTTCTAAGTCAGAAACCACTTCTGCTCCCTTATTCAGCCCTCTCAATTTCTAATGGAGCCAGTGCTCTCTGCCTTACCAATCGCTTTCCGCATACCATCAAACTGTTTAAAGGCGAGTCTCTTGGATGCGTACGGCCCATTGATAACGGACAAATTTTTACCGTGCCGCAAGAATCATCCCAAAGTGACCTCGCCGCCGTCAGTGCTCTTAACCACTCTCATCTACAGGCTTCAAAAGTGTTCGATTCGGTGATCGCAGACGGACTGTCACCATCTGAACGATCTGAACTCCTCCAACTGCTGTACCAATACCGCGAATCTTTCGATGTTGTTCAACCTTCACTTGGCCGCACTTCTACCACTCTACATTACATCGATACCGGCTCCCATGCGCCACTACGACAGCGACCATATCGTGTTTCTGCGTCAGAACGCCAAGTTATTACCGAACAGGTGAACGATATGCTGCAACGTGGCGTCATTCAACCTTCACAAAGTCCATGGGCCTCACCTGTAGTGCTCGTTAAAAAAAAGGATGGTTCCGTTCGCTTCTGCGTGGATTACCGGCGCCTAAATAAGATCACTCGAAGAGACGTGTATCCTTTACCCAGGATTGACGATGCCCTTGATACTTTACAAGGTGCCGAGTTTTTTTCATCATTAGATTTGCGCTCAGGGTACTGGCAGGTCCCCCTTACAGATGCCGATCGACCAAAAACAGCCTTCGTGACACCGGACGGTCTGTATGAGTTTAATGTCATGCCCTTCGGCCTCTGCATTGCGCCTGCCACCTTCGAGCGCA